ATAGCAGCACTATCAATAATAACCAAAGTATGGAAAGAGCCCAAGTGTCCATCAACCATCAACTGATGAATTGATAAAGAAGAGGTGTTTTATATACATACACACACACACACACACACACACACACACACAGTGAAGTATTACTCAGCAGTCAAAAAGAATGAAATCTTGCCATTACAACAACGTGGATGGAACTGGAGTGTATTACGCTAAGCTAAATAAGTCAGAGAAAGATAAATATCATATGATTTCACTCATATGTGGAATTTAAGAAACAAAATAGATAAACATAGGGGAAGGGAAGGAGAAATAAGATAAAAAGAGAGAGGGAAGCAAACCATAAGAGAGTCTTAAATACAGAGAACAAACCAAGAGCTGCTAGAGGGGAGTTGGGTGGGAGTTGAGCTAAATGGGTGATGGGTATTAGGAGGGCACTTGTTGATATGAGAACTAGGTGTTATATATAAGTGATAAATCACTGGGCTCTACTCCTAACACTAATACTACACTGTAGGTTACCTAACTCTAATTTAAATAAATAAATAATATAATAATCAAATATGAGTTAGAGAGACTATGGGAAGAAAGGATAAAATAAAAAATTCCTAAATCATCTTAGAAAGGAATATTTTGAGCACTGCCTTACGAATTTGCTTGGTTTTCACACTGTAGATTATGGGATTCATCACAGGAGGGATGAGCAGATAAACATTGGCAATGAGAGTGTGCACAAGGGGAGGGGCTTGCTTCCCAAATCTATGCACCAGTGACAAGCTGATCATGGGAATGTAGAAGATGGCAACAGCACTTATGTGTGAGACACAGGTACCAAAGACCTTTTTCCGCTCCTCTGGGGAGGCCATGTTGAGCACAGAGTGGATGATCAGAACATAGGAAAGGAGGATAAACACAGAGTCTAGGCCAGCAGTTGATATGACAATGGCCAAACCAAATGCACTGTTGATCTTGGTGTCTGTGCATGAAAGCGTCATCACATCAGGGTGGAAACAATATGAATGGTGCAGAACATGGCCATGGCAGAAAGACAGACGCTTTAGGAGCAGGAGTAAAGGCACTAGAGCCGTTGTCCCCCTAATAACAATGGCAAAGCCCACTTTGATGATCCTTGAATTGGTTAAGATTGTGGCATATCTCAGTGGGTTACAGATGGCAGTGAAGCGATCAAAGGCCATCGCCAGGAGTACTGAGGACTCCATGAATGTGAAACCATGGATAAAGAACATTTGACCAATGCAGGCATCAAAACTAATTTCTTGAGCATTGAACCAGAAAATACCCAGCATGGTGACCAATGTGGAAAGGCATAGTCCTAGGTCCGTGAAAGATAGCATGGAGAGGAAATAGTACATGGGTTCATGGAGGCTCGACTCAGTGAAGATCACAAACAGGATCATGCCATTCCCAGAGATGGCAATGGCATAGAGACAACAAAAAGGGATGGAGAGCCAGGCATGGTAAGTTTCAAAGCCAGGGATGCCAGTAAGAAAGAAGACTGCAGGGTGGAAAATGCTCTGATTGAAGGATGGCATGATGAGTGAAGGAAGCAGATTTCCCTGAAGGAAAAGACCATACAAGTAGGCAAGGAAAATGTTTTCACTCTCTTCTACACATCATACAATCCAGGATCACTAGTGAGCCTTGTCTTGTTCTTCAATGGAAGTGCAAACCCAGTTATCCTTTTCTTAGATTTGGAGTCCATCTTGGGTGAACTAAGGAAAGAGACAGAACACTAAATCATATACAAGGACACCTGGGTTTTAGCAAGAGTAACATGTTATATCTAGGCTTCAGCACATTTTCACATACATGTGTAAAAAAGGAGGTTAGGGGCGCCTGGGTGGCGCAGTCGGTTAAGCGTCCGACTTCAGCCAGGTCACGATCTTGCGGTCCGTGAGTTCGAGCCCCGCGTAAGGCTCTAGGCTGATGGCTCAGAGCCTGGAGCCTGTTTCCGATTCTGTGTCTCCCTCTCTCTCTGCCCCTCCCCCGTTCATGCTCTGTCTCTCTCTGTCCCAAAAATAAATAAACGTTGAAAAAAAAAATTAAAAAAAAAAAGGAGGTTAGAGTAGATAACTAACATATTTTCCAGTTTTATGATTCCATGTACATGGACAGATAGGATATTTCTGTGCAACTCTGGGACAATACAAAAGCCAATTCATCCTGCTTTTCTTCACTTCTCTTTTCCCCTTAAGAGGTCCATTAAGGCTTAAAAGTCCTACGGCACCTGGTTGGCTCAGTCGGTTGAGCTCCTGACTTCAGCTCATGTCTTGCAGTTTACGGGTTCGAGCCCCACATTGAGCTCACTGCTGTCAGCACAGAACCCACTTTGGATCCTCTGCCCACCTCTCTATGTCCCTCTCCCACTTGCGCGCTCTCTCTCTCAAAAATAAATAAACATTAAATAAAAAAGATAAGTCCTTATGCATCCAAATAAAAGAGGATCATAAAGACAATATTAAATATTTTCTAATACCACTGATTAAATAGCACAATGGCTATTGATAAAAACTAAATATTATTGAAGAGCAAATTCAATCTGGCAAATAAACTGCAATGGGTGATAACTGATAAAGTGTTTCATTGTATAGGTAGTAGCCTTGAATCAGATATTGTTTAAGGGAAATTCTCCCTGAAGAAATATGGCCCAAAGTTAACCTTACAAGAACAAAGGAACTAATTTCAAGCTAAGACATAACAATTAGAGTGGAATTACCTGATTATGATTCTTAATATTCCATTATTGTGAAAGGATAAGAAAATGAATGGAGATTTTGGTGGGTGTGGTCCCTTAGTAACTGTCATGAATCTGGGTTAATCTCCATTCAGGTGAAGGATGATGACATGTTCACCCACATCAAGAAATCTGTAGGATTAAAGAAGTTCCTCTATAGTGATTCTTGTCCTAAGTGTTCTTACACCCTATTTTATCTACAGAAATAATACTTGGTTTTTAAGGTATGTGCTCCTTTTTTACTCATTCACGTGTGTATTCACTCAACAAATATTTAAATATCTACAAAATTCCAGCGTGTGCAATTAGAATTACATCTGGTACCACAAGAAGGCCTGTCCATGACTCTGGGAAAGAAAATATCGAAGTGTATATAAGTCAACTTGGTAAGTTTCATTCCAACTCTATTAACAGGCAGTGGCTTTGACTAGAGTGGGGATAATTCATTACATGAAGTGTGATGAAGAGGGCATTTGAAGAGAAGAAAAGAGAAAAATGTTCAATATAGGAAGGCTCTTAAGAACTCAAACACAAAAAAATAATGTCTAGAAAATCTGAATTGAGGGGCAATGTATAACAAAATAAAATCCATTGGTTGGTTTCAATGCTTGTACATCAGTTGGAAGACAAATCTCACTTTTTCACCTGTGACTTACATGCAAGAATTAGAATATGTACTTAACTTGCTTTGCCAAAAAAGTGACTCCTGTGTTGTCTAACTGATGGCCGGTTTAAAGTCATAGGAACAGTGAAGGAGGTCAGAGGAAAGAGCCCTGGGGAATAGCAGTATTTTCAAAAAGGAAGAAGTCTACTGATGAGACTGGAGAGGCGTGCCACTCAGCTGAAAATAAACCCCCAGGAAAACACAAGGCCCTCATCAGTTTTTCTCAGACCTCTGACCTCAGAGCCAGGAAAAATGCCTGGCACAACAGTTTCTAAGAGCATCTGTTCAATGAATGAATTCATTATATCTGGTAATAGTAATAAACCCTAGACCCTTAATATCAGGCATATATTGTGATTCCTGATAGATACCCCTTCAAATTAGTAATAAAGTTCATGTAACCATATTGGCATATATTAAAATGGGAGATCAACACTTTTTCTGATTAATCTAGTATTCATCCTACCAGATATATTTCTATACAAAGATAGACCTGGTGATAGAAATAAATTTTTCTGTGTGAAGTTGTAAGGACCTTTAAATAATAACCTCTTTATTTTAAAGATGAGGAAACAGGCTCTCGCGTTAATGTTCTTTGTATTAGAGTTAAATAAATTAAGAGACCCCAAAGGATTATCTAAGTATCCAAACTAGCCTTCTCTTTAGTAACAACACTGATAATGTATTAAATGCCTACTATGTAACAATTTACTTCATTATATCTCTTTCTCTGAATCCTCTTTCCACTGCTTTGCATGCTTCCTCTGGTCTCCTTTTTGAATCAAAGGAAAACAGAGTGGGACTATTCCAATGGAGGGAACTCCATTAGTGAAGCTTGTGGAAAAATAATAGCTTTTTTTCCTTTTAATTCTATGATTCTTAACCCTCCTTTGGTCCTCTTGCACTAAAACTAATGAGCAAATATTAAATAACTATTCGTGGGAAGGTATACTTAAATGTCTCTTTCTCCCCAGTGGAGAATTCTTCCAAGACAAGGGCCATGACTTACAAATCCTTGTAACCAGACTACCAAGAACATATAAATAGACTGCCCCCACTATAAAGCTTTGCATTCATCACTATCACAACATGCCCTGGGTCTTATGAGCTCCTTTTATAGATGAGAAAACTGAAGCTAAAATTAGAAAACCAAGGCTCGAAGAAATCATGTTACTTTCTCACATTTATACAACATGACAATGGCAGATCTAAAAATTAAACTCTATTCTCTCTGACTTCAAATGCCATGCTTTGCCATTACTTATTTAAAAGGAATTTAATTTTTAAAATATGTTCAATGATGAACACATGCTCATAGCTTCATGACTTTAATGTATATTTTATTATATCAATTGTTTTTAAATTGATATATGAATATATATAGTATATGAATTTGTCAAATATATACTACTAAGTTCACCAATTTTCTCTGAACTGTTGGTTTTATAAACTATCTTAAGATTGTAGAGTCCTTGATGTATTCAGAAAAGATTTCAATGCACTAAAACACTGACCTTATGCAAAGGAGAAATCTTGAGTCTGGAAAGGGAGGTCATTTGCTCTTACCCTCTGCTCTTTGAAGAGTCATCCCACACAGCAGCAGAGGGTCTTTTAAAGCCAGAGAAAGAGAGAGAGAGAGAGAGAGAGAGATTATCTCAACCTCAAAACCTTATGGGCAGAAAGATGCTTCTGTCCCAAGGCTAGGAAAACATCCCCTGACCAGTCCTGCCCCATTAAGCCATCTCCAAAGAGGTTCTCTTTTGCCAAGAGAACTCAAACAGAATACTCAGGTATCAGACCTCAGAAAAGCAGGCTTTACAAAGGGCTCAGAAGCTGCCTGGTGAGAGTTATTTTCCCAACAGAAAATCAAATCCCTAGTAGACAACTATACACCTGTGTCCTGCTAACCCTTTGTGCCCTGAAAGACCACAAAGAGCAATTTCTTTGCATGCAGCTTCATTCTTAATTCGCCAAAGAAATATCTTGGAGATTCCAGGATTCCAGTTCATTCAAGAGCTTTTTGACCCCCAGACAGCTGTTAAGTCAAAACAAAGCTTTCATAGAGTAAAAGTAAGGGAGAAGGGGTGTTAATGGTTCACCCGTGAGTTTGCTTACCATTCATTTGCCAGTATTGCAGCAATCATAACACATAGATAACACAGGTAGGAGAGGAGGGGTGAATAACTGTATTCACTGAGGCCACTGCAGTGTTATCTGGTTCAGAGCCCATGACTGTTCCTGAGCATTCTGAATATCTGGAGAGTTGTTCCTAACTTGTACACAGGCATACAAAATGATAACTTAAAAGAAAGTGATTCAGCAAAGAAGCATATGAAAAGATGCTCCATATCATATGTCATCAGGGTAATGCAAACTAAAATAATAATGATTCTAGAATTGCCAAAATCCAGAACACTGACAACACCAAATCCTGGAAGGAAGTGGAGCAACAAGAAGTCCCATTCATGGCTGAAGGAATGGTCCAGAAAAATGTAAAATGGTCCAGCCACTTTAGAAGACAGTTTGGCAGTTTCTTACAAAACTGAACATATTCTTACTATACAATCCAGCAATTTCACTCCTTATATACCCAAAGGATTGAAAACTTATATCTACACAAAAATTGCATATGAATGTTTATTTTTTATTCATCATCGCCAGAAATTGGGAGCAATCAAGATGTCCCTTGCAAGCTTACAAAGGCACTATACTACTCTGATAACTGGTCTAAAACTGACACTAATACATTTATCCCTGTGGTAGAGACATTAACTATGTTTGACAGACAGCTTCTGTTAAAACTGTGGATATGGATACTCATTAATGGCCCTCAGACTTTGGTCATTAATACAGCCTTTTGACAATTGTGGGGACTGAGAGGGTTGGTAGTTTCAAGAACAGTAACTAATTAAACATACTTCTTGGCATAAAAAGCTATGCCAAGAGGGCACTGCCTTGCAAAGTTCTGCTACATGGAAAAAACGAATGAGGTATTTACTATCATTAGCATTGCTTACTTGTTCTGTGTAGTTTTTTTTTTCCTTCTGTCACAAGATTCTAGATTCCTAGGAAAGTCTGGAAAGACATAGTTTTTTCCAGGAGTTCATCAAAAATCTGAAAATAAGCTACCCATT